GGGGGTGGCGACCCCCGACCGGCTGGGCGGACCATCCGACGGCCCGTATTGATCACAACCACAGAGAAACAGCGCCGGACTACTGCGCGGCCAACGTCAGCCGGTGCCGGCCAATGCCGCGGACGACTCGGAATGCTGGGAGGTAGCGCGTCTCGAATGGAATAAACCTCCTTAACGTTAACTTTATATGCCATAGATGATGGAAGTCGGCTGGACTGAGAAAATATTGTTCTCCGATTTTTTTCTTACCTGGCAAACAATATCACGTCATTTATTCATCCGGTTGAATGCAGTGTTTCAGTCAGCCCTGGTAACTAGGCTTTCGAGGACCATTCCACAGAGAGATGCTATTTTGGGAAAAGATAGCGCGATCTACGACAAAAAGAGTCGATGTGTCTTCCGCTCATCCAACAAATAACTTTTTGTCGCCGTTTTGAACGACAGCCGTTTTCGCCGAGCCCTCGTCTAGCGTTGCTGATAGATATGCTATTATGGCCCGTGTTCACCCTCTCGCCTCACTGCTGGAAGGAGGGTTCGGTGGCGAACTTTTTGTGGGTGGTCATTTACACTCCTGTCGTAGGGAAAAGGTGCTATCATTTGGGTGGGGAGGGAGATGGGAGCGAGGATGTTGATAGGATTGATGAGAATTTCAGACGGAAAGTTTTTGTCGTTTGACATTTGGTTTTCGGATGGGTGCGTGTGGGTGCCAGGAAAGAAAGAAAAGGGGGAAAAAGAGGAAGAGAGAGTAGGGAGGAAGAAGAGGATAGGGAGAATGAGAAAGACAGGGAAGAGAAGGGGAGTGAGAGGAGAGGGAGGAATTACAGGGAAAGACAGAGCCATTCCGTCCTGCCCCGTCGAGAAGGTCGGATGTTTTCGCGATGTCTCGGCCGGGGCTCAAGCCTTGTGCACGATGTGTAACGAAAACACAGACCAGATCGATATGACATAGCGACTGCCGACGGCACAACACTCTGGCTTTGTGACAGCCCTGTGGGCTTTGTGGGCTTATACGGCCGGCTGGCGATATTACGTCGGTAGCCGGAGAAGATTTGGGGCGTCAGACGGCTGCCCAGTGTTGTCTTAGCGTCGCTGGGAGCCTGGTGCGTGTTTGCTGAAAGGCTTGAGACGGCAAAGCAATATTGTTCGGGTGGATATAAAAAAAATGACGCTATGGAAGATATAAGGCGGTGTATGGTTATTTTGCCTGTGGTGGTCAGATGATATATGGATAGCTGATAGGATATGGTGAGGCCAGTGGGCTTCTTGTACTCGTAACGAAAAAAAAAAACGCGGCAAACGTGAACCCGTGTATCGGAGTGTAGCACAATTTGCTAGCCAAAGCATCGCTTCTTTAATGCTGGGCATCCCTTTTATTACTACATGCATCAAACACACTTTCCTTTGAAAGACACAGACCCCATTCCTTTGTGTAGAATCAGACCCTGGAAATGTTTTCTTCCCCTGAGAACCATTCCCATTCTGATAGATCGTCAGATCGTCCCGTCTGCGTCATCTCTCACGGGGCTACGTGTCTGTCTTCCGTGACCAATTTGGGACCGCAGCACACTGCCTGGAACATCTGACGGCGTTCTTATCACACCGTCTGAGCGATGTGCCTCTGCTGTCTGGGCAAGGACTGCGTGTTGGGCCATTATTTGTTCTTTGTCGTAATATGTTTCCTGTCATGTCTTATTTGACAGGACTAAATGCGATCCAATCAGAAGCAATAGCTGGAGCGGTATTGTGAGGAAAAGGGTACCAAGAGATGTCGATGGGGCATTACCAGAAATGTCATGTTATTTTCTCGGCCAGGAATAGCCCTTGATTTTCTCGGATTTTTTTTTTCATCGAGTAGGTATGCTGTCAGTTTCTGTTGGCAGTTATGTTGCCCCGATGCCTGATCCTGGACCGATCCCTTCTATTCTTCTCAGGCCCAAATCCAATCCCATCGGATGAATGTGTGATGGAATGACCAACACGTTCGGTTATGTTGGCCATTTATTCACGCTGACAGGAACACAGAAGGATACTTGGCGGATTTGCGCTTGACGGAAACTGCAATATATGTAGTAACTGAATGAAAGCTGTGGGTTCTGGTCAAGTTTTAAATGTAGTACTATACATTAATCAGCATCACATGTTTCCATTTCTTATTGATGTCATGACTCATATATCACACCCGAAATATTATTCTTCTGATTCTGACATAACTGTGGGGCACATGCAAGTCGACCTCGCCCAGCTCCTACATGCATCACAGTAATGAAACGTGACGGGCACACATGGCGCCGGAACCCGCACCAAGCAGCAGGGGTGGTGGTAGCTTCATTAGGTAATGGCGCAGGCGCTGATCTGGCATTCCCTATGGCTGTCCGTCTATTCGTCTATTGATCTGTCCATCTGTTCGTCTGTCCGTCTGTCTGTCTGCTTGTCCGTCCCTATGTCTGTCCGCCTGCCCATCTGTCTGTCCATCATTCCGTCCGCCTGTCTGTCTGTCCATCATTCCGTCCGCCTGTCTGTGTGTCCATCATTCCGTCCGCCTGTCCGTCCGTCCGTCTGTCCGCTTGTCCGTCCGTCTGTCTGTCCGCTTGTCCGCCCGTCTGTCTGTCCGTCCGTCCGTCCGTCCGTTCGTCAGTCCGTCGATCTGTGCCAGTGATCCCACGTTGCGAGTAACGCGTTGTTTGCTCGACAAATATCCGTCTGAATGTGTAGGTGGTACAGCACGGCCCAGCGCTGTTTGATCCGACTCCACGGGGCTCAGTGGCCATGTGTGTGTACTGTAGGTGTGTGTGGGAATGTTTGTGTGGAAATGCTTTACGAATTGTACGACGGACTGTGAGGTAGCCTGAGTATGAAAAAGGCTTCTGTGCGCGTTTGGTTGCACTCACCGCTGGATACCCTTTCCACAAGGCGCAGTAGTTGCTCGGCACTGCGCTCAGATCCATCTAAAACCGAGTTGTGCAGTGATTTGAACTGGCTATCTTGTTGCATAGCTCCGGTGAACGATGGGAGTCGATGTCTCTGTCTAGGAAGACTGGTGTGTTTTCTTTGAGCGATCACGACATTCGTCAACTCGATACAATGGTTGTTGAGATTTACGTGTGGTCCTGAAACAGCGTCTACTCGCTTGGTCCACCGTCTTGATTTGAAGTTGGGTAGCTGCGAAGGGTTTCTTTGCGTATATTGCAATCGAGTAACCGTTCCGGCTATTTCTTAGTCATGCTTATATCTAAACATTTCTTTCATGCTTATATCTACCTATCAATCAAGCTTGAAGTTCAGCCATTGCATACGACATATTATCATACAAATTAAATCAATTCGGTCGAACCCTGTCGATTCTGGATAAAATAGGGTCCTATCGCTGAGCTGCCGGGGAACAATTCGGTTAGTCAAATCGTGCCCAGTGGATCGAGAACGAATAGATAAAAGACCGCCCGCTCCCTCTGCTCTTCTGCCATTGGTATGCATTGAAAATAACGCTTTATGTAGACGGTGCGTGGTCCCGTCGACCCGGACGAAAATGAAGTCCATTGGAGAGTGACGCCGTATAGATGAGAATCGAAACTGGGCGATGGTATTATGGTGTAACCGGGCTCATCGTCTGAATAAACGGCTGGAGAAGCTTCCCAAGGAGGCTTTCGCCAGCGTTAACAAAAAAGAGCGGTATCAAAAGGCTTGATAATCTTACAAATGCGATATGAATGGTATCTAGCATTTCTCTTTTTTTCTACAACGTTTTTTTTTTGTCTACAGTGTTCTTTATTTTGCTTCTTCACCACATATTGTAATTTAAAGAAACGTTGAGCGTTTTACTCTAATGCACTCCTTTTCAGCGTTGTTTTTCTGTTCTGCATGCAAAGTAGCCTTTGAATCTCGTAATATGGACAATCCTGCGTCATACTTTAATGCATACATTTCCGAATAGCTGCCAAAACAACCCATTTTTCTGTCAAAATGCGACGAAAAAAAATGAGAAGACGTTCTAACTAAGCTCATTCATTTGTTTCACGGTGCGCACGTGAGCCTGTGACCTTTGCTGATCTCTGTGACCTGACATTTCCCCAGCTAATAGCCTCAGGCGACAAGTTCGACTTTTGTGCCGCATTGAACCCGAACACGACAGGAACATGACTCGTTCACACGAAATAATTAATACACTTTGACAGTGCGACCTTTGCCTGACCTGCTGCTGACTCTTTGAGAACTAATGTGCGCTGTGTGCAGTCCATCTATTTCTTAATTACTTTCATCTGGGACTGCGGACGAAAGTTGTGAAGAACTATTTTTGTAACCATTTCAGGAGCTGTGATATTTTACAATTGTCTGCATTTGTAGTCTGTGCTGTGTGTATACTGATTGTTCTGGTTCATGACACTTGTTTAATGCTGAACCTGATATATGCTGAGTTCTCTTTGATGTCTTTTGCCCGTCGTTTCGAGCTCTATTGCATCTTGCATCTCTTGCATCTCTCTATGCCTGTCCCGTAGCTCAGTTGGTAGAGCATCGGACTCCCGGTAGTGAGAGCCCGGGTTCGAGACGCTCCGGCGCTCGATATATGAGACTCCTGACGGGGATGGTCTGCGGTTGGTGGGAGCAGCCGCAGCCAGTTGAAAGTCAGTTGAGTGGGACAGGCCGTGTCCGGCTTTGAAGGGCACGTTAAACTTTGGCATCTAAATTCTCCCGTTACCCGGAATTGCGCGATCGGACGGTAGGGGTCGGGGTCTACGCAACAAGCTCTGCTTAGCGTGGACTCCGGCTCTGTCAATCCGTCCATTCAAACATTCGAGCTAAATTTATAAAAAAAAAATCTTCAGTCACTCTCCACCAATATTTATTGACTGTCCACCTCAAGTGACCTCTGCTGACATTCGCTGGTCTTCTTGACTTCTGTTTACCTTTACTGACCTCCACTGACCTCCGATGACCTCCACTGACTTTTGTTGACCCCTGTTGACCTCCAGTGACCCCTGCTGACCTCCGATAACCTCTGCCCTCAGTCTATCCGGCGGGACATCGCTCGGACCTACCCAGAGCACGACTTCTTCAAGGAGAAGAACGGCATGGGTCAGGAGAGCCTCTTCAACGTCATGAAGGCGTACTCTCTGCACGACCGAGAGGTCGGGTATTGCCAGGGCACCGCCTTCATCGTCGGACTACTGCTCATGCAGGTCAGTGAAGGGAACGGAGTATGGATCAATCCCTGTGACTTACATAGGTAGCTATAATACCTTTAGCCAGCCAAGTTGTTTCTTCATGTAGCAGTGATAATGTTGATTTCGGATGAAATCTTCTGCAGTTGCAGCTCAAAAGCAATTTGAAAGACCATACCAATTGCAGCTGCCGTTAGACGAAAGTTCACGGTCCGAAATTACAGGTCGGACTGTCCATGGTTGAAGGCACTGAAATCAGCTGCCAGTGCTGTGTGAAGATCGAGTCCTGGTCAATCTCAATGGTATGAGATCGGCTTCAAGTCGCCGTGAACTGAAGGGTATCAAATCGCTCGGGTCTTACCGCTGAATCAATCAAAGCTGCCGCTCCAAAGTACCGTTGTTATAGTTCTCAGTTGCCGCGGCCGAGATCACTTCCGCAGGCAGATGAAATGAGTACCTAGAGTTGCGAGGCGGTTTGTTCTCGCCTGCTCTTGCGGCAGATCTTATTTGCGACAGTCTATCTTCTTTATAAACAAGCAGGCTTGCAGCAGTGCATCCGACGCCTGCAGAAATATTCACTCTCGTGGTTTTACAGCAGTGATTCTTACAAATTTCGTTCACGCTTTGTGCAAGGGTGGCTTCATGCATCAGTTTATTGAGGCTGTCTGTACTGGCAACGGTATGCCTGTCATTGCTTAGTTAGCAGAAGGAAAATAACTGACAAGGCAAACCTAAAGCGCAAACTGTGTGGCAAAGGGCGTAAGATAAGTTGAAAAAAAGGCAGAGTAGGAACGTTTCCACGTACCTCGTAGAGATGTTTACTGTTTAGTAAACATTAGTCATGTTCGCAAAGGATTTTTTGGCCTCTATTTCCCTTTCTCCTTTCCTTTATTTGCCACACTTCTTATTCTATTTTTAGTAAAGCTATCTCCTCTCCTCTCCCCTCCCTCTCCCTCTCCCTCCATCTTCACCGTCGGACGTTATCTTCCCCAATCCAAGGCACTCCTCGAATGTCGCCAAACCTAATCTCAGAAGTGTCATCGCGTGCGGCAGTTTCATTCGTCACCATTGGTCGCCCAAATAAACAGACTTGGTCAACACTTGCGGAAGTCGAACGCTAACTCCCTGGAGAGGAGAGATTGGTATCGGAACGGCAGGGGATGGGGAGTCTGAGTGAGGGTTGGGTGGCGAGAGAGACAGATAAGTTTTGGGTGATATGGGCCGTAAATGCATGTTTTCTGTGAATGGGTGACTCCCTTTTTTATAGGGGTGAGCTGGTCGGACTCAGTCGGGACGGATGGGAAGGGGAGACATGGGAGGGAAAGGAGAGAAGCAGTGACGGAAGGAAGGGAAGGTTCCGACGGAAAGATCTCCAGAGGAGACCGGAGACGCCGGAGACAGCGGCTCGGCGGACATCCTGCGGCGGTGGTGATGGATTAGGGTAGAGGAGTATGCTCTCCATGGTGTGTCCTTGTATCGAATTTGTCAGCTTTATTTGATTGATGGCTGCACAAACATCAGTATTAAAAGGATGAATCGATGGCGAGAAGCCTCTCGGTGAAATGATTATTCCATTTTGTTGTGTGTTTGCCCGATTCTTAAGTCGTGTTCGCCGCTTCATTTAGCTTCCGGATATGTCCATGATATGTTATTAACTAGTATGTGTCCTCACTCTCTGTTCATAGCCCAGCTCGTAACCCCGTATATCCTCCTCCGTTCCTCACAGATGCCCGAGGAGGAGTCGTTTGCCGTCCTCGTGAAGCTGATGGAGGACTACCGGATGCGCGAGATGTTCAAACCCTCCATGTCGGAGCTCGGAGTCTGCATCTACCAGCTGGAGGTCCTCGTTCAGGTAAGTAAGCGGCCTGCTTGTTTGATGAAGTCCATTGTCTGTTCTAAGTTTGTGAATGGTTAGTGTCTTTTTCGTTTGATTGTGAGTGCTATTGTATTGTTAAATGAATTAAAAGCGGATGGATTGGACCAAAGTTTATCAAAGTTTTGTGGGTGTTGAATCATTCAATTAAATTCGAGAGCGTTTGAAACACGTACTTGACAATGAGTTTTCCTTAGTGATTCCAAAAAAGCTGCACGTTTGGAGTTTGAACCCTGGTACTAATGACAATTACATAAGCAAAGGTATAGGTACGCACTTCCACTTGACGTGCTGCTGGGGCCAGTGGCATGAGTGATGGGCCGACCAAAGAGAACGGTACAGACCGATGTGCCACGATACAGCGATGCCACGCTCAGGATACCAAGGCCAAAGGACCGACTAAAGCACGTTTTCCTTGTCACGATGCACTCACACCGGCATTGTCATGCTACGGACGGTCCGTTTCAGGGTTAAATATGTATCGTCTTCCTTTTTTATTGGCATGCTACGGCATAGGGGTGAATGCACTGTTTCATAAGACCGGCTGTTATATCGTCCTGCTTGAAACAGTGCTATTCGCACTGTATTAACTGAACTAAAAATAATCATGGCGGCAGTGCTTCGTATGCTGGTGAAAAGGTACTATGTGCTGGAATGAAAAATGCACGGACCAGAAACGCGACATTTGAAAGTGATCCTCACGTCAAGGCTAAGTCTGTCGCTCGCTTTGCCGTCAGGCCCCCGAATTTTGAACCGGTTGTGAATACCCTCAGCAAGAATTTTACTACGCAGCGACTGCAACTGGATTCGTAAACATACCTGGGCTGATGTCAGAATGGAAAGCTCTTTAGGACTGTTTGTGTTATTGTGTTTGTTTGATGCTATCTTTGAAGCGCCGACAGCCTTGCTCCGCTAAGCCCGACTTTCGCTGCCCACTCTACCACTGTCCATTTTATTGCTGTGATTTATACTCCTTCGCTCAAGACCCCCCCCCCCCTCTCTCTCTCTCTCTCTCTCTCTCTCTCCCTCCCTCTCTCCCTCTCCCCCTCTCTCTCCCTCTCTCACCTCCCCTCTCTCTTCGTCCACAGGAGCAGCTGCCGGAGCTTCACGGCCACTTTGCCTCGCAGTCGTTCCACACATCCATGTACGCCAGCTCCTGGTTCCTGACTCTATTCACCACGGCTCTGCCCCTGCCGCTGGCCAGTCGAGTCATGGACTGGTTTCTGTCGGATGGCATGGAGGTGATATTCCGGCTGGCTGTGGCTGTGCTGACCGTCGGGAAGACGGACATTCTCAGTCAGGATATGGAGGGGATGCTCAAGGTGAGAAATAGGGAGAAGCGTGAGAGATGGTAAGAGGGACAGCCTCAGGATGCTGAGGGAACTCTAATTTTAGAAATGTTGCTGGGTGGGAGATGGAGAAGGTGAGACGGACAATGACCATCCTCAATCTGAACATGAATGGCATGCTCACAATATGAACGGGAAACGGGAGGACGGGAACGGGATATCACTGGTCCATCAACCAAGGACAGCGAGGGAAAGCCTTGGGAGATTGAGAGAGATACGAAATTTTTGGGTAATTGGACGTGAAACTCCATTCTCAGTTCTCACCATATAACGTAATTTCTATACCCCCAAATTTGTGGCAGCTCAGCTGTCTTTTCTGGTAAGTTTCCTCACACTAATCTGTACGTAAACGCCACTTCCGTTTCGCCCCTGCTGGGCAGTGCTGGGGCAACGACCGTTTACTGCCAGCTGTCCGTTTGTTCGCGTGTCCGTGTCCGGTTGTCGAGGACTGTATGCGTGTTTACACACTGTGGTGTGAATGAGGCTAACTGTGTGTGTGGGCCGTGGTCGATCGGGCCAAGACAAACTCTGAGACTAGTGTGAAATGAATGCAGAGAGAACGGACGGCCATTAGAGCCCCAAGCTCAGTAGCGAGAGATCTGGATTAGGGCGATTGTGGCTTTGACCTTGAATGGGAATCCAATGTCCCAGTAGCTTGTCGAGGAGTATATCATGATGCAGCCAGATGGTAAATTAATGTTTAAAAACATCACAAACATATAAAGCCAGTAAGGTCTCCCACTGCCGATGCCTAGCTGCCTTATATTTTCCTCCTCGTTTTATATCCTCTCCTTTTCCTGGTCGTCATCTCCCCTTCTCTCTCCCTCCCTCCATTCCCCCTCTCTCCTTCCCTCCCTTCCCCCCGCCCTCCCCCTCTCTCCCCCTCTCTCTCTCTCTCTCTCTCTCTCTCTCTCTCTCTCTCTCTCTCTCTCTCTCTCTCTCTCTCTCTCTCTCTCTCTCTCTCTCTCTCTCTCTCCATCCAATCTCGTTTGCAGTCGTCCGACTGGGCGGCTTCCCTGTATCCTCGGGTTTCCTGCGTTTGTGGTGTTTATTTTCGCTCACACAGCGGCCGCGAATGAAACAGCGTTCCACACGAGATGGTTTCCACAACGCTGCACCAGCGGCTGCCGACCCGAATTTAAACTGTCTAGGGAATTGTGCTCGTGACTATGTCGAAAGCCAGTGTTTGGTTTCCGAAATTGTCTAGGGGTTTCGAGGGAATGTCGCTGGAATGCTCAGAAAACGTGTCGGATGTAGTGTTTGTGTTTTTGTAACCTAGATGGGTATACAATTTGAGTCGTGTAAAAGCAATGTTCGTTGGCAAAGTTTTCACCTCGCCTCATTTGCAGTGTTTGATATTATCGTTACAACTAGCGACTCACCCTCGGTTCAATCGTTCCAATAAGCGTTTTTAGCATTGCACTTATAGTGTTTAGATGGTAGACAAGTGATTGAACTCAGAACTGGAATGTTATTAACGATAGCGGCTCGTATTATATTGACCTCTATTGCCTTGACGATCTATTCAAAGATCAAACACTAGCTCATTCCTATCAGACCTAAAATAGTTACTGCTAGCGTTATTCAGGACAGCAAGCGGGTTGAGCCCCTTGTATAGCAATTTTTTGTGATTGTGGTGGGCTCTGGCTGTCGTTGAGTTGAGTTCAATAACCCATTCCTCTGCAGTTTAGTCTAAATTTAACATTTAATCAGACCACTGACGTTCATAACTCGTGTGCGCGGTTAGACGTTGTATCGGAGACTCAAGATCGACGGGGAAAGCTGGTTGTCATGATTTGATGTTCTGCAAAGATTTTGAAGTTGTGATGACCTGTGATGAAGTTGTGATTTTGAAGTTGCCATGATGTTCAAGTGACACCAGTATGTGTTCGAAATGTGTTTCATGGTGCTGAGTACTGATTCATTCCAGCACTTGTAAATCATGCTGCAGATTTTTTACTATATCTGATTACCTCACTGCCATGGATACTTGCGTATATTCTATGCACCCTGCTCTCCCTATCCAGTGTCCTTGTCGCTCATACTGACATGTTTTCTTTCTGTGTCGGCAGTATTTCCAAAAGGAGATGCCGGCAAGGTTCGAGTCCGACCCCGAGACCCACTTCACCCTGGCGCAAAACGTCAAATACAACGCCAAGCGGATGAAGAAACTCGAAAAGGAGTACACTGTGATGAAAACCAAAGAGCACGAAGAACAAGTGGAGCTGAGGGTAAGCTGATAGATGAATGATGATCGGAAGAACTGCATTTATACATTGCAATTTTATGGTATGTGTCATGAGTATCTGATGAGTCATATGTATCAGACGATTCTCTCAAAGCCGCATTCATCCCGCTCTATTTTGTATCTCCAAGTCATCTCCCCGACCATCCTTTCTCTGGCGCGACGTTTTATGATTAGTTTCCGGCTTTCTGAATGGCGCTCAATGATTGGTGGCCGCCTTCTAAGCGGTGACCTTTCCGCTGACCTTTTTCTGTCTGCCGCACGCTGATTGGTCGGGGACGACCGGTCTCGAGGCTCGTTTGTTATCTCTGAACCAGCCCTTATCCCCGCCACTAGAGAATAACCGACAATAATGTGACGTTATTACTGCGAGGTAGTGTCTCTGCGGGATCCAATTTGACGGCCTGAGTGGTTACCGTGTGAGGTTGTCATGTGGCTCGCTAAGTTAAATCAGCTGACTTCACAAAGGGTGTCACTATACCAGCGTTCAACGCCATAGCCCTAATTCCACCATGCATCGCCTCACCGCATATACCATTCCTTTCCCATCGTCTCACCACGTCTCACCCCCGACTAACTATCTCACTCACTCTCATCCATCAACGCCTCATCTACCTTATCACCTATCTCAACCCATCATCTCACTATCTCACTCCAAGCACCCGTCTCACACATTCGTCGCCTCACCTTATCACCCGTATCACCCCTTGTAGTGGTCTCACCCGGCTCCATCTGACCTCATCTCTCCGTCTCCCCACAGCGTCTCCGCACGGAGAACCGCCTGCTCCGACAACAAGTCGAGTATCTGGAGGCCGAGTCTGTGGCTCTGGCCGACCGGCTGATCCAGGGCCAGGTCTGTCGGGCCGAGGAGGCTGAGCACAGCTATGTCATCCGGAGGGAGCTCGAGGCGGTCAGGCAGCACAGTGGCGAGACGGCTCAGCAGCTGGAGGAGGCCCGGGCGCGCATCCATAAACTGTCGGAACAGATGAACGAGTCGGTACGTGAAAGGGGAAGGTGAAGGATTGATGGGAATCCGTGCGGACGAGGGTGGTTTAATAGTCCCAAGGCGAAGGCTTTTGTAAATTCATTGATTGGATGAGACAAATTACAATATGTTTTACAGTTGCTTGCACGTGAATATTGTGAACCACATTTCATGAAGAATGTTTTTCGCCTTAGCTTTTTATCTTGCACCATAGACCTCTGTATCCGTATTGAGGTCCATGCTTGTGCTGATTCTTTTGCTGTCTGCTATGTGATTCTAGTGCAATGTACGATTTTAACTGAGCAAAACATGCAGTCTGTACTGAACCCAAGTCACCTGTCCCACTGACACGTAATCAACCAGCCATACTCTCTCCGCAAATATAGCTCCAACTCCCCCTTCCGTGCACCTCTAATCACTCTCCCCTCCCTCCATCAGAGCTCCAACGAGGACTCGCTACAGGAGCTCTCGCTGAAGACGGAGCTACTCCAACAGAAGGAGGAGCTGATGCGCTGTCTTCAGGATGAGCTGGTCAAAGTGCGACTGGAACACGCCGAGAATGAGGCCACTATTCGCGAACTGAGCGCCAGATGTGACCAGCAAGAGAAGGTTAGACAGAGGGAGAGAGGGACCAGAACTAGTGAAACGAGCGTTCCTTGTGCTTGTGCCTAGGAAAATAGGAAAACGAGGGGGGGGGGGGCTATTCAAGAGAAAACCACATTCAACTAACAGAGACATAAAACATGCTTCATGTCGCCGATGTGAAACACTCTTTTTGCCTCTGTGACATCGCTCTTCCTGCTTCTAGGGGTGGCACCGATTGATTTACCAGAATCCTTGGATCATCACGTCTGACCATGCCTCCCTGCTTCCTCCAGGAGCTGAAGGCGCTGAAGGACCAGCCGCCCGAGGACCCGGTGGCCGCCCTCCAGGAGGAGCTGGCGGCCGCCAAAGTGCGCGAGGCCGAGGCCGTTCTCTCGCTGAAGGAGCTCCAACAGACCGTGGCAGACCTGAACGTCATGTGGAAACGACATCTGGAGGTGAGGAATGAGGAGGTCGACTCGGGGTCCGCTCTCCTGCTCATGTTAGGGGGGACTAGTTTTGCGCTATCCTGACTAGCGTACTGTGACGAATCTGGCTAAATCTGTTGCCGGACCGGAGAAGCTCAACTTCAGGGCAGAATGATGGTATGAGACGGCTGGTCTTGCAAGACCAGCAGCTTGGTTTTCCGTTCAGTCTGTACAGTTGTAGCGAAGGCACAACTTCTACGTATACGGACTCAGTTAATTGTAATTTTATGTGTGCTAGCGTAAAACCTGAGATACCCAGCAGCCAGTAGCCACCCTAAGTGCTACACATCTCACACCCTCTCCCCCCGCCTCTTCCTCAGGAGAAGGAGAAACTCAAACAATCCGTGGAGGCGGCCGGGGCGGGCGGCTCGGACACGCCCACCCTGCGTACCCCCACGGCCGCGCGCAAGCTGCTCTTCTGGACTGCGAGTGGCGAGGACACCAGCAAACTGCAGGACGAGCTGATGTCGTCGCGACTGAAGGAGATCGAGGCAGTGGCGGAGATGAAGCAGATGACGAACAAGATGATGGAGATGGAAACGCAGGTTGGTGATGAGGAAGGGAAGGGGTGGAAGGAGTTAAAAAAGGAAGCTAGGCTAGAATGATTGGCAGGCACTTATAGGCCTTTATGTTTGGGGTTTTTAGGTTTTGGATCATTGGCACGTAGTTTTTCATTATGCTAATTGCTTGGATGTCTACTTTTCACTTAGAAAATGCTGATCGAATGCAACATTGGGTGACGACCAACCAACTGCCGTGTCACAGTGTGACGCTTTGTATTGAACACTATGATTGATCACAGGTCCAGGTGACGACCAATCAGCTGCGACGACAGAGCGAGGAACACAAGAAGACCGTGGAGCGGCTGGAGATGTTCGAGTCCGAGAACAAACGACAGGCAGAGGAGATCAAGGACTCGCAGAGGAAATTCTCCGATCTACAGACCAAGGTAATTGGCCGCTTAAAATTTTCCTTTTTTGTAGCGGAATAAATCGTAACTGTCTTAGCTATTAGAATTTAGAATGGACATAGCCGTGGCACATATACAAAACGGATATCATTGGCCATAGCTTTTATGTATTTAAAGCCAGTGCGAGTGACGTTTCACGATTTATTTTACACTGACGATGCCGTGTCCGTGCCTCTCTCCGTAGGGTTTAGCCAGCCGTCCATGTTTGGTTTGGAGCAGTATGTGGCTAGAAACCTATCCGCCTGGCTTTGGCAGTTTCGATCTGGTAAACCGATCATTGTCGCCTTTTACCGTGTCTACCCCAGTGGGAAACTGGTGCCTGTTTCATCTACATATGTTCGTTTATCGATGCCTGACACTACCTACATGTATCTCGGATTGCGGTGCAAAGAACACACGTGCAATTTGCTCTGGCCAATAAGACGGCCACGCTTTTATGAGTTGTGAACGTTAAGCCCATATACTAGGCCTCGAGGACTGCCTTAGAGGATATCACCAGCGTCCCTGAACCCGCTACAACTGTGGAATGCCCCTCCCTCTGCGCCCTTCACTAACACCTTCCCCTCCCTCAGATGAAGGAGGAGTTGATGCTGGCACGTATTCGAGACGCCGAACACACCCAGTGTATGGCCGAGCTGACGCACAAGCTGTGCAACCTGGAGCTCAAGGTAGCGCATCGGGCCGCCTGGCTGGTCATCCAGGGCGGCCTCACGGTAAACCACGCCCTAGCCACGCCCACCGCAGCCATGTTTCCCTGTCTAGCGACGCCCACTAAAGGCCACGCCCACCAGCCATGCTCTCGCCTTAGTCCGTCATACACGAATGGCGGAGGCGAGTGGGGAGGCGCAGCTTATGAGCTGATTGGCTGGCTAGTGGTGTGACTTTTTGATGCTAGAGGCTGGTTCAGTCATCTGGCTAGTCATGCCTTGGCTAGAACATGGACCTCAGCCATACCTTTCCCAAAAAGTATGCATAGATATATGGCTAGAGATCAAGGCTGTCTTTTGGATAGCTATGTTGGTCGCTTGGCTAGCGCATTGCGTTATCGCGTGGCTGGCGTCTCAGTGTGGCTTGGGCTATGGCTGCGATATTACAGGGCTTTGTACGTGGTTTACCGTTGGTCCACCGTGGTGTCTTTAGTATCGCCCACATGTTGTGTCTCTGTCGTGTATAATGTAAAATTGGTTTTTATACCGTAGCGACTGAGCCATATACATGTCTTTCGGTAATTTTTCTCATGATTTGTATTGTTGCTTCACGTCTCTTTCTAAACGACTATTTGCTATTTTCATGCAGTCATGGTAACGTTCCCTTATCATCGTTTTGAAATATTGTTGTGGTACAGGTAAAGGCAAACTGTTAACAGTTGCTTTATTAAACTTTATTACACTTGATCTTTAGCCTCTACACCATTCTTCAGAGACTGTGATCTCAATATCACGTCGCCACTTCTCGTATCTCACCAGACTACTCCGCCGCCTTCTGACCCGACCCTCGAGTGTGACCTCTGATTTAACGCGACCTCCCTACCCCTCTCCCCAGAACCACGAGCTGCTGGCAGAGGGAGAGCTGAACGGAGTCGGAGAGAGTGACCGAGTCAAGGAGCTCTCCGACAAGGTGGCTGACCTGAAGGCAGAGGTGAGGAGACGCTCCCACACTCTCTCCTGAAGGGGAGGGTAGAGTTACGGGTTTGTGTTTGTGTGTGGTGCTTTGGGAAGCTAGGCAATCACTGGCTTTGGTGCTTTTTGATGGAAATACATGGCGTTTTCTAAAAGTCATTGGCCTTGCCGGTCATGCATAGTATTGCTACTAAGTGCAATTACAAATTAACGTTTCCATCAAATAACACTGTAGTCCGGTGCCGTACAGTATGCCCGCTCGTCATTAGGGGCTGGTAACTATAACTCTGTTCTCACCCGAACCGCTCACGCTCACGGGGCTGCATTGGCGTTTTGGCATTTTGGGTGCTGACGCGGTTTGGGGAAGCGGTTGGGTCGTGTGATCACTGGGGAAGCGTTTGTGATTTGTGGTCGCTCACTGGCTTTCACCGCTTTGGTGCAATGGTCTCACTCCTTAAGGGTTTGTCGTGTGTCTCACTGTCTGTCGTAACCACTCACTCACTGGCTAAATGCTCACATTAACTCACTTTAGATCTTAGCATTCCGTCCACTCACTCTCACGCGATTCACTCTGTCTTTGTGTGTGATTCGATACTCTACCGTTGTCACTCTGATCACTAACCGCACCCCTCTCTCCCTCCCATTCTCTCTCCACGCACCGGCAGCTGCCTCTCACCTTCGCTCGCATGCCCACTCTCTCCTCCATGACCTCTCCGTCACCTCTCCCTTCTCCGATGTTCGAGTGGGGCGGGCCGCTACCGGGCCTATTTTTCCTCCGTCCAAAACATCTATAGCCTGCTCCTGGACAGAGTGGCGCCCGGATAGAGGACAGAGTGAGTAGGGGAGGCAGAGGAACGGAGGAGGGCGCCGTGACTCGGAAATGGGCTTGTGCGGGGCTTTCTGTGGTCTGCTTGGATGCATGCTTTGGCCATATGTGTTGTGTCTTGTATGTGTGATTTTGTTACATTATACATGGGACGTGTGTATGTAGAGGTGCATGCGACGGCGCCTATGCTGTTACTTTCGTCATCCTGTTTGATTTCGCATTTTTTGCATTTTTATATTTCCATTTAAGGAGCCGTCGCAAAGGCAATTCCACAAACCCGTCAAGTCAACTCAAGTCAGTCTGCTTAGACACATCGCTTTAAAATTTTTAGCTGTACCCGATCTGCTGAACCCTGTACCCGCCCGATCTGTTCATTAGTTTGAATCGATGTCTGAAGTAGTTCGCTGGAACCACTTATTCATCATTTTTCGTAGGAGCAGGCATAGTCTTGCATCGAAAATGCCACTTCTTGCATATTACTGAACATTACTCTTCGTTACGCTTTGATGATCGATCTTCGACCTTCGATCGATGCTGCAAATGCTCAATCTTGTGTTATTCCTTACCATGCTATCGCGTCATGGAGTATGCATTATGGTCTCTGTACATGCAGTTGAAAGGACATTTCAACTGCAGATTTCCGAGTACAATCGGTGCAATTGATTGCTCCTAACATTTATCGAGTGTGACATGATGTGGAGCCTATTGGTTCCGAGTTTTAAGTGCTGGTGTAGCGAAGTCCTCGTATAATGGCTCCCGTTTTACAATGGCTAGCTGTTCATCTGCTGAGACCTTACCTCAAGAACCTAATATACGCCGCAGCTGTCGCAGATCGTCACGATGTCACTACCATTCACGTGACTGAGCACCTGGCTTCAGTGCCTGTTTCTAGTCTCCTTCTGTCCTAACGTAGTTTAGCTTCACAGTGTCATTGCTTTATACCTTGTAGCTCTCCTGTTTGTGTGTCATATCTCTCCCTCTCTTCCACTCTCTAACCACCGCCTCTCTCCCCGGACAGATTCTGCAGCTGAAACACTCCAACCGGTCGCTCAACAACCAGGTCCAGATCCACCAGATCCTCACACCGCGCGTCAGCGTCGGCTCGGCCTCCGAGGAGGAGGATCTCCGCCTCCGCCTGGAGGAGGAGAACGGAGCGCCGGGCCGACCCGACTCGGCTGACTCCGGGCCCGCCTCGGCGCCCCCCGCCCAGAGACTCGGCGTGGTGAGCTAGCAGGCGGCCGAGGGCGGTAGCCCGCACCAGTCGCCCTGGCGCCGCATGGGAATCCTCTCGTGGTAGAGGGGCCGGCGGGGAGGCTGGTGCGGACGCCCGCTCTCAACAGAGTGGACCGTGGAATGGGAGGAATGGGGAATGTCGAATGTGGAATGTGGAATGTAGGATGTAAAATGTGGGGTGAAGACTGAGCGTTACTGGGTTCATGACGGGTTGTTTGAAGACATGACAGCTACGGCGAGCAGAGTTGGGAGGGCAGTGCAGAGCGGAGGACGGCGTGCAGAGGAAGGGAAGGAGGAAGGTAGAGCGTTGGGAGACGGTAGTGGTGCTTCTGCAATCTGCGGGACTCAAGTGTTGTGTGCTGGGGCGTGAAGGGTTAGTGTGTGAATCTCACAGCGCGTACGGCCGCGTCAAAATAAATAGAACGACGCGCCCCAGTCAACGTTGGTGTTCTGTGTCGCCGCTAGGGGATAAATCAGCGCCACCGTCGTCCGTGCACCCAAGCGTTCGTCCGCCGCGTCTCCACCACCCGCCACGGTCGCTCGTGAGCACGTGTGCACCGTGACCGCCACGTGTGCACGTGTTCGTGTACCACGTGTACCGCTCGTGTAGCGCGGCCGTCGGCAGTCAGATGGGCCCTCGGCCGCCCGTGTTTTGGTATAGAGTTGAATCTGTGATACGCCGCTCTCGTTGTGCTGATTGTTGTGCGCATGCGCGGTGACCTTTGCGCCACCGACGAGACGGCGTTGTCGCCCCCCGGGGGCAGAATGTGCTTTAAAGTGATATAACTACCTGTAAACGGCCCCGATTGAGGTGGCCCCACCCGCCCGACCGGCCGTAGGGAGTTTACTAGAGTTCCCGCCCCGCGGCGCCACCGTCGTGCTGGTTGTGATGGCGCCCCTGCATTCCGGAGCTCCCGAATATGGCTGATTTTGGGAGCGGTTTTTGAGAAGTTAGCTGGCCGACTTGTGAGGCAGACTATAGATAATTTATTATTATTATACCCTCACCGTTGCGGCGAGGCCAGAGCTGTATTTATTGGCAAACCCATGATGTTTTACAGACCCAACAGTTTACAATTTTGGTAATGTAGTGTGTGCGCGTGCGTAACTCGCTTCAGCGGCCGCTAGCCGACGAAATAACTGTCTGTTGCCGGTAGTGAGAATTGAGTGGGTGTCCGCCGAACCGTTAGCCGTTGGCCCGATGTCACGTCACGTTACGTCAGTCTGTGATGACGTCACTCGCGTTACGTCACGGTCCCGTCCGCGTGTCGGGCGCTGTCGCCGCATCTGTGAGGTGGCGACCACCCTGCCACCTGTCGGCGCCGCGCCCAATTAACCGCGCCCGATGTCGGTCTGTCAGTCAATACATGGAGCGCACTGAACAATACTGTGTGGTGGGGACTGGGGCGGTGCTGAGGAGGGGTCGGAGGGACGTGGCCCGATCGGCTGGATTGCTTGTGTCCTAGAACTTTCGCGTCGGGGCCCGTACAAGGGACAGAGGAGCAAATGATAAGAGTACGCAAAAGCTTTATGTATACGGTCATAGCTGCAGCTGCAATGCCCAGCCCAAAAATAGTGTCGAAGGAGCGAGGTGAACAAAGAGAAAACTGGTCCGGAGTAACTGGAGTTATGTTTTGTTACAAATTAAACTATGCTAGACAGATGTAACGGCACAGTACGGTATCGCACAGTCCTCCAGTGGAATTTTCGAAGATTTATCACCAAGTTACGTAATTTTTGCCTCACTATCTCCAAAACTTACATGTGCGATAAGCACGCATAAACAGTAACATAAAACAATTACAAGGCAAAAATAATATCGAAAATAAATGATTCAAGATCCAACTAAATCAGAATCAGGGTCAGCAGACTCAAGTGAAGAGATAATCTAAAACTCAAGACGGAATAGCGCAACCAAGGGCCCCACTCTCACGAATATGAACGGAATAATTTAAGACGTGTATTCAACGCTCTCCGCGCCTCGGCGAGGAACCGCTGTGTAAAAACCGCACGAAGTCCGGATATCGGCGAAATCAAGTAGTCTAGTTCTAGTACCGCGGAGCGTGGGGCCGGGTGGGCCCGCTGCTGCCGACTCGCCGGAGTATTAGAACACATCAGTTCCCCGTTAGCCCTCCACCGCTCGTAGCTGAAGTGAAAGACAGCGACCCCACACGCACTCCACCAAAAGCCCAGCGCGAACCGAAACCAAACACCCCGCACATACCCCGAAGGCTGTGCTAAATGCCTCCAGTCCTCCAAATCGCAACCCGTCCTCAGCTTCGTAACAACTCCACCCGGCCAAACAACTCACTCTTTCCATTTGTGTATACGCCTCACAATTTTCCGTTTTTAATACCAAAAATACCTTCATAAAACATGGCAGAGAGAAGACTTAAAACAGCAATAAAACTGGACAACCGCAACATCCCACGCACACCAATACATAAAAGGGCCGGCGCGATCGGCCTTCGTCCTCCGGTCACTGGTTCACCCACATATAAACTCTGCAGAGCCGACCGACCAGCTCTGTTATAACATCATGACCGGGCCTCGCGGCGGCCCGGTTAAAAGCCGCCCACCGCGCAGGGCGGTAAAACGTGCGCGCCGCTCGAGCTCCGCGCGGCGGGGTGGGGGTGGCGACTACCACTCCTTCTTGTGCTCGTCCATTGAGACACCGCCCGGGCCGATCGAGATGAGCATCAGAAGACCGCCGACCACAGACAGGGTCTGAGTGATGGAGAGAGAAACGGGCGCGTCAGAAGTGTCGCATCACGCGAGATAATTTCAGGAACAACACCCTAAAACCCCCAATTAAACATTCAGGAACAGCGCGAGGTAGACACAATGTCGTGACTAGCTTGTAAACTCAAGCATGCTAGGAAATACTGGGACACACTGAAGCTTGTTGATGATGAATTGGGGTTTTGGGGGGCCCCGACTACAGTGGTCATCGGCGCCCAACTGAAGCTTGTTGCCACACAGATGACGAAGGTTCGTTTGATACAAGCCACTTTGTTACAACTGTCGTTAGAATATCGTCAGAAATTCAGAAGTCTGATTCACGCCTTGCTACACACGAGTGCTCGTGTACTCAGTCCCAAGTGCAGAGCTCTGTCGCAATACCATTCATCCAGCCACCACATCCCGCGCCATGTCACATGCCGCGGTGCACACGTATGTCGACACATCACCGCCACAAGTCCTACGCCTGGCAAGGTAATACCGCGTGCACAGAGTTATCGAACCACCAGCCTCTATTCAGTACTAATCGCATCAGCTGTTGGGGTCTCGCCCAAATCGAACACCTCTGGGCCATGCCACAATACCGCAGGAATCCAGTGCCCATCCCCTTCCGAACAAGTCGGACTAGTCGTGGAGGAGGGGGAGCGGGGAGGAGCCAAAGCTTGGAGAAAGCGGTGCACTCTCGTCAAGGTCATGAGGTCGAATACATCAGCGACAGTTTCTGCGGGGCGCCCTACCAATGAACAGCCGGTGACGGCACTGGGCAAGTCAAGACGGGTCGGGACAAGACGAATCTGGGAAGGACATTCGGTTAGGGTAATATTTTACGAAGTTACGCCATTCGACTAGCCCTCCCCTACGCCAACAGACCGCACAGGTGATGGGTCTCGCATTCACTAGCCATGACAGAATGACACCAGAGAACAGGCACAGCTGTAGTGCAGACGCCCCAGCAACGGCAGCTCGCGAACAGCCGTTGTTAAATCAGTCATCTTTCACCACAAAATACGGATTGAAAGAAAGCCCATCACAGATAAAACGATCCGTGCCCGTCCACTTCACCTTTATCTAATCTAAATGGAGGCATCCAATCGCAAAGAAGATAAGCTATCTTGACCATAACACGGTCGACACTTAAACGAGACACACCAACGTAAACACACGGTCTGGTAACATTCAACAAAGTCAGTCTCAGCATCGCAAAACAAGCGCCCGGAACCATGTCAGGTACAGCTTTGTTTCCCGCAATGCTTCAGGGAAACCCCATAACGTTATATACAGACGCACCACTAGAGACATCCCATAACCTAAACGTAAACAGCAATCGGTTCAAAAGATACCGTTCCTGGTTAAAGTCACTGGTAAAGTCCTGGTTAAGTTGAGTTATGTCATCGGATTTCAATACTACATATCAAAGCACGGCCCATCCCTTCCAAACTAGATCCTCACCTGGAAAAAGTCGTATTTGAGGAAGTCTCGCATGGGCTTGTAGGCGGGCACCGACCACCAGGCGTTGACGTAGAAGTTGAGCGCCATGAGCCACATGACGAGCAGCATGGACGACAGCTTGGTCTTGTAGCCGATAGTCACCAGCACCATCAGCACAGAACCGATGATAATCTGAGGCGGTCAGGGGGAGGCAGAGGTCAGAGGTCGGCAGAGGTCAGAGGTCAGAGGTCAACAGGGGCTAATGGTGGGAGGCTGACTAGGAAGGGCGACTATACTGGCTATCAAGTCCGTTTAAAAAAGCCCGCTCAATGATTCCGAATAGGCTAGAGACGCCAGCTAATCAATAAGCGCCATAGATTTCCGCAAAAGTGTACACTCATTTGATGTGCGCACTGTCCAATGAACTGCATAGTCAATACCCTCTATACTGAGTACTGACCCACATCAGTTCCAAACACCTTCGTATCTACTCAAACATGCATAGGTCATTACCGTACACTTCATATTCCCCTAGGCCTACACCGCCGATTACTCATTCATAGCCCATTTTCGCTCACGCTGCATCTATTCAGTTGGTGCCGGTACCTGAATGATCTGCAGTGGAGACGCCTCGAAGCGCAGCAGAGTGAGGAACATAAAGACGAGCAGGATGCGACCGGCCAGCATCAGGTACGTCTTCTGCTTGTTCTCGCCTGTAAGAAGAACGGCATGGTCAGACCACGGAACTTACAATCCAGGCACGTCAGCGCATCAAGCCTAGCCAAGGATAGACGACACGTCATGTCTAGCCAGACATACAGCACGTCTAGCAAAGTCAAGGACCGATGACGCGCAACGCCTAGCCAGGCACTATAGACGGCACACCACATCAAGCCAGGCATAGACTGAAACGACAAGTCACGTCTAGCCAAAGACAGACAGCATCCCACATCTAGCCAAGCATAGACGCCACGCCAGACACACCTAGCCAGACAGGACAACACGTCTAGTCCAGACATGGACGGCACGACCCGCCTCGTCCAGCTAAGCATAAACATTTGACGTCTTGAATACGCCTATTCAGGGGAACGACGGGTAGGATAACGACGCATAACGGACGCTCGCGGCGGCGTGGCCAGCGTCCACAGCGATGCGTCGATACGGCACACGTCATTAGCGGTACACAGGCCGCAATATCCGCTGTCGCCAAAGGCCAAAGGTCAGGTACATCACGGACAGCGGTAGGCAGTATTTCCAGCGCCCCGGGACTGGATCGGACAGCACAGGATTACGGCCGTCTGCTGGAGACGGAGGGGGGGGGGGGGGCACGGCGGGCTGCTAGTCTGCCACACTGCAATCTTTGCACTCAGGTGCACTATGAACGAAGCATAACGAAGCACGGAAATCAGGTCCCCTACTGGTGTGGAACACTATTCGAACGTTGTTTCGTACGGATGTCTTCACGAACTACAAACATATCAAGGAATAAACTACATGGTAGCTAACATCTCTCTAGAAAACATAAAATGAGCGCAACTACCCAAAAAAATAGACGTCACCTGCGCTGAGAACAGCCAATCAATCTTCCAAACAAATCATTTCGGAAGTCCAAACCCTTCCAGCCACCACTTTCAACACGGTGCAGACCCCCTCCACCTGCCGATCTCGATCTCTCTCCCTCTCCTCCCCACATCTCCCCTCCCCACGTTCGTCCTCACGTTCCCCGACCTCCACACGGCCATCTCACACCAGCCGGTCAGATTACACGGCGCCCGTGCACGGATCAGTTAGATCGGACGACGGACACGTACCGAGACCGGGACAGGGTCGGCACGGTTCAGCTCGACACGCTTGGCGTTACGAGCAATGAAGTGCTGTGGATTTTTAGAAATGTAGAGTTTTAGACCTAGTCAAAACTAACTACAATTAGAGGGTAGTCTCGGTACATTGCATTTCCAGAATAGTAAAGACGGTACGGCAGGTATGGGATAATATGATTAATGATCGCGAAGGATACGACAGTTGAGCTGAATCACATGTGAATATGCTCCTTAGCCCCTCACCATCACTTCGGAAAGTTACATAACCTGTCTACATGGCGGACTTCGCCTTCCTAAACGAGCGAACCTTCTCGCAACCAATGCGTCAGCGTTACGAACTACGACAATCCACTGCCAAACACGTCCATGACGTCCTACAAAACTCTCAATACCGTAAAAGGAAACCTCTTCCAGGTAAAAACCAGTGTTCTTCCTTCGCCCATCTACGCTCAGATCCTATCGCTAATTTCGCGAGAAGCCGGCGTTTCGGACAGACTCGTCAGATGGGCTCTGCTTTCCCCAATCGGCAACAGACCGGGACGAGCCGGTTTACTCCAAACCGGAGTCAGCAGACGCCGCTGTGGTTTACTAACTACGGCCGGTGTAGACGGTGGGAAACGTGCCACGGGCCTCACCACGGTAACCGACAGACGCATAGACGCTAGTGACGTGGAAGGTGGTCGGCGGAATGCCGATGACGTTTGGAAACCGGAGCGTGAGAAACGCCCGTGACGTCACTGGAATAAATATTAAAGCGTCTGGGACGCTAATGAATAAATAAAACGCATGATTCGTATGCCGAGAAAAATGGTCATTTCGTTAGTCTCGGTCGAAGCCACTCAGAGGCAGAATATTCTTGTCCCTTCAGTTATCTAGGACGCTAGAATTATGCAAAAACTCACTTCGTTCTTTTTCATCGTATCAAATACCCACCAACGCAGTCTACCCACGGTCAACCAGTTAGCCATCTTTCACCGGTGTTACCGAAATTCGGTCCTCCCAAACCGGTCGGAACCGCGCCCGGGATCACATGTCGACCTTCAGCGGCAGCTGGCCTACCGTAGTGGAGGGAGGACGCCGCCCCACTATCATCTCACCCGCCCGGTCTACTTTCACTCTCAGTAACGGGCGCGGTCAGCCGCTCTGTCCCTTTGAGCTAATGAAGGCAATCAGGGAAACTTGGCTACGGCGGATCACTGACTGCGAGAAGACTTGGAGACGCCGAGAAATTGCATTCGCAGAGAGTGATTAGCTTTGTCAACGGGATCTCAGAGGTCACTAAATTCTCATTTTCATTCATTCACTCCTACAAGCAGCCTCGTGTAACGCCGGACTGCCACGGCGATGATGAATTGGGGTTTTTGGGCGCCCGGACTACAGTGGTCATCGGCGCCCATACTGTCACGGTGACCAGAGGACAGCGCACTAATTTACCGTTGGTAAAACGCTCACTAACGAACACTTCCTATTTGACTGGGCCACACCGGCCTCCAGAGTCTCTTACGTGGTTCAGACACATGAACATCGCTGATCGCAGGACAAACTGTTTGAAACAAGACAGCCGAAACATCCAAGACATTAAGATGGTCAATCGGCAATTTCGGATTGGCCCCAGTTCAAGCTCGCTACCACGAGTCAATGGCCACGCTGGCTAAATTTTGCTCAACGAATTCAACACCAATCAATACCACACACCCCACTCAGCACCATGCTACGCCGAGAGGATGATGCGTGGATCAAGGTACCCAGACTCCTTAGTGCAATCATTAGCTCATCGACGCTTCCAACACTCACCTAGGCTGGGCACTCCGGCGAACAGGCTCTTTCCCTCGACCCGGGTTTCTGCGAGCACGAGCAGGAGTGCACCAATGAGCGCCAGGTTCCTGAACAGAAACTGGGCGTCCCACAGGATCTGATAGGCGACAGTCTGTAGCAGCACAATGGCGAATAGAACGCCCACCGCGATGTCAACCTGCAAGAGATGGGACGGGATTAAATTGGCATATAAGATACGAGATAAAGTTACGGCGTGGTTGGTTTGCATCGTCCGTAAAATCGGGTCGTCAAGCTTTGTCGTCACAAACAAAGAGTGGGATTATTCAATTTCAGATAACTACACATGAACAATGTGCAAATCCTATCGCTCAGATGTACCCCAAGTGCTAGTCATGACAAGGCTATATAAAAGTGAAAACGAAGTTCCGTTTTCAGGTTAATAACTTAGCCAATGAGAAATTGTACCATACTATGATCCATTCAATATGAAGGCTGCATATAAGTAGTCAATATCGGCTAAAACCAAATTATCAACATGCACTAGCGGCTAGCCAGACTATCGTTACATTGTTGAAATCCCCGCAGTAGCCATGATATATTCAATACGGTACTAATACCAATGCAGCATGAACACCGGCAAAATGAACGTCTCTCTGCCGGCAATCTCCGCTATAAGACCGTCAGAAGGACAGAATGGCTGAGACTGGAGCATTATTTGGTCTTTTATTTTATCGGCATGCTTCCAGCCTGCTGGAGTTTCTCGCCTTCTTGGTGAGATTCACGTGGGGTGTATGCACTATGCAGCACTTGGACACATCGCTGACAACCGAACACACCTAATAATCTGCAGCCAAAGCAGTGGACAGGGCAGATGAACCGGTAGTAGAGCACTCACCTTCAGCCGAAGCAGCACCATGGCCACGCCGCCCAGCTGCCCGACCAGGTTGACAAACACAAACAGTGCTGCCAGGAACCAGCCGCACCCCCATGATATGTCCATGTATTCCCTCTGTGGGATAAGTAAGGGGTCAGACACAATTACCAAGTGTACACTACATAAAAGTATTTGTCTACACCAAATATTTGCTTGAGTTTGAAATGCAATGCTTTGGAAATTGTTGTTTCGCAAAATATTTCTTCTGCAAAATATACATTCATTTTAACTGAAGATAAACTGAAGGTGAACTAGAAAAAATAATGAATGGGAACCGGAACCCACCTGTTCATTCCACTGAAACCACATCCGAAGGCCATCTTCAAAGAATGTGCTGACTAGGCAGAAGCGGGCCAAGTGAGGTAAAATGTGCTTAGTTTTTCGTAAAACCTGTTGGAGGAAAAATGAATCTGTTAATCATATACTCGGCTCAATAATGAACTTACCTATTGAAATCAAAGCACTTCTGGTAATGAAATAAGCTCACAGCGACAGAAGCTAGTAGTTACCACATCTGTGAACCTGCAAATGCTTGAGAAAATGCATATTATCATTATTGCTAAGAAGTTAACTTGCTCTAGACCAGGGGTCGGCAAATGGTGGGGCATGCCCCCTTTGGGGGTAATGGAGCCCTTTCGGTGGGGGTAATGAGGGATTCTGAGAAAGCCTATCTTTTTAGAGTTTGTAGCTCCAGTGATGGAGCCATCGTGACTGTTGCATCCCAGGGTTCAAAGATTAGCCCAGGCCAAAGGCACAGCACACATTGATTAGATACCAATTTTCACGTACCTGCTCGCCTCACCATCTCACCCCTCCGTACAGTCGTACAAAAGCAGCTGCAACTTTTAACCGTCGCCCGTCTGTTGGCGTTTCAACAGCCGCTAACGTAAGGGGGAGGAGTCGATCGGACCCCCGCGGCCTCTCGGACTCTGGGATGGAGCTGTGCATAAAAAAAACGAGCGTAGTACCCCGTGACTATAGGAAGCCGCTCCTGCCCATTTTTAAGGTCCTTAGTCATTCCGTCTCATTCAAGAGGGCAATGACAAGTGTCGAGAAAATCGGGACCCGCTATAACTTCTTGAAGTGAGATTTTATGGCTCAAGATGATCTCCAGAAAAAGCTCATAAGCCAAATGTCATTATGGGTCCAGAGGCCAGTTTTACCAACAGAAAAATAGCCGGCTGCCGGAATTTTTTACCTAAAGATCGTTTCACATATGGAGTGTAAACGGTAAAGCCCTATCCGCTTACGAGCCCATCGCGTTTACGCTCCATATGTGAAGCGGTCTTGAGGCAAAAATTCCGGCAGGCGGTCATTTTTCTGTTGGTAAAACTGGTCTCAGGTCATGATATTTTCCGGGCTGGTAAAAAGAAAAATGATGGGCTCGAGGGTACAATTTGGTCGTGATCCAATGGCAATGCCTTTTACGTGAGCTTTTAACGAAAAACCACCCGCCGCCCCTATACGTACAAGGGTTAAATTTGATATAGCATAGGCGGCGGAACGGGGAGGGCACCGGGGCTCCGTGCCCTCTTTGATTTTTGCATTTTATTATTAGCCCTATGGGCGTTGCATGGAAAGAATGGGACCAAAAGTCGGCAGTGCCCCCCTCCCCCTTAATTGAAGGTGTTTCGCCGCTACTGGGATATAGGTATTAAATGTTTTTTGGAGGAAGTGTCATGTTTTAAATTTGATGCATTGGAAATGCACAAATACCCAAAGAATTCCAGGACGGTATGGAATTTCAGTAAACTTGGTTGTGTCAGCAATTGGGTCTGGTAGGTGGGGGTAATGGCCCTGCCTGGCGCCCAAAAAGGGGGCACAACCCCGAATGACCTGCCGACCACTGCTCTAGACTCTGCATTGCTGTGCATTGCTGTGCAATGCAAAATACGCTGCACGGTGCACACAATTCCAATATCTTATATCTCACTGGAGCTTTAACTTTTTAGTAATTTAGGTATTTCATACCTAAATTACTAAAAAGCCAGTGCTGAAAAGCCTTTGGTACACTCTGCCTTATTTAAGAGAATTGAAACATAAGATCAACACCTGGGTATTAATTAAGAAACATCAGTTAAAAAGTGCATTAAAATAGAACAAAAAATAATTTCCTGAATTTGCATTTTGCAAGTAAACGTGGGACATCTTCCACCTTTCAAAATACTGATAATAAATAACTGAGCCTAAGCAATTGAGGTGAATTTTAATCGGAATAATGAAATGGATTCATACAAAACTAAAATAAAGTAAAACAACAAGCGAAATAATAAAATTTAATGCATAATTCACCAATGTTTGGCAGATGTTTTGTTGAGAGGCGAATTGCACGCAAGATATGCCGGCGACATTCAACGCAACTTACAAGACTGATGAGAGAAATGTCACGACTTACCCTAGGTTTGGTAAAAAAGAAACAAAAAGACATCTTACCTCGTCAGCAACGTCCTCTGCTTTTGATAAAAATTCGTTTTGAGTCGTCATGGTGATAAATTTTTGCGCTGACACAGCGCCACCCCCGCCGCAAAGACCCAAACTGGGTCAATTTGGAACGTCCTTGATGTTATCACTTTCGAAATTTTTATTTGTATTATTCGACCTAATCAGTTTTACTCTTGCAACAAAATATTTATTTTGAAAAAGCGAAACTAAATAAATTAGAATTTGCCCTGTTAATGTAAAGATTTGTGATTTGAACAGAAAATCAGATGTTTAGTTCTTGACTCCACGTTTTATCGATTAGTGCAGTGCTAATCTATTTCGATTTTTTTAATTTTTGCACATAAGTTTTTTAATTGACTCTTCAATTTTTTCAAATTATTTTAAAAATCAAACATTGAACGCCTAGAATACAAAAATCAACACTTTTCGGACAGCAAAACATTTTCGGATATCGAACGATACATGAGATTTTCTATTTTCACCACTTTCTCGCATCTTCCTTTTCCGCTACCACTTCCCCGTGGTTGGACGTGTTGTAATTGCTCCTCCTCAAAATGGTTGGAAAGAAGGTAATTATTTTACATTCCATTTGGTACTTCCCGATTATTTTATGTTTCGTGGCTCACGTAGATAGAACCCTGCTGTATTGACGTGGGGGTCGATTTGGCGCGGAACCGTTTCTAAGGTGTTTGGTACTAGAACAACAAAGTTATGTGCCTGGCTCAACTGTGGAAATTGAGGAGGAATATGCCTTCATGTTGATCAGGGTCTGTTATGTGTGTTTTATTCAATATTAAGGTGTCTGGTTTTGCTAAGGCTTGATTATTCCTAATTAGCTCTGGGAATTTGGATTATATTCCCAGCATCCAGTGATCTCGGCTCATGTGACTGGCTTCACAATCGAATAGCACCCTATAAGATCTACAGGTTCTTAAAATTTAATCTTTATTAAACACATTTCATATACTCTTGCATTTATTGTATAAATTCAGTTCTGGCCTTGGGCCTATAGTCTTTCCCACTTCCCTCATTTTCGCCTTCATCTCTTTCTCTCTTACCTTTACTCCCCTCTTTCTTTCTCACTTTACTCTTTAATATCTATTTCCTTCCCTTTTTCTCCTTTCAACTTTTTCTCTCCCTCTCTCTTTTTCTCTCTTTTTCTCTCTCTCCCCTCTTTATCCATCTTTTCTCTCTTGTCTTTTTGCTTTCCTCGACTTTCTCTCTTTATCTTTTTCCCTTTTTATCTTTTCTCTTTTCTTTTTCCCTTTTTATCTTTCTCTATTTTTTCATTCTTTCTCTCCTTTTCTATCATTCTTTCTCTATTCCTCCTCTTTCTTTGTCTTGCTCGCTCTTTACACTGTCTTTTCTCTTTTTTCTTGCTTTCCTTTACTCTTTTCTCTCCTCATTTCTGTCTTTTCTTTCTCTTGCATTCTCTTTCTTTCTCCCTTGCCTTCTTTCACCTCCTTTTTCTCTTTCTCTCTTTCTCTTTCTCTTCTTTTCTCTCTTTCTCCGACTCTTTCTCCTTCTGTCTTTCTTGCCATTCTTTCTCTTTATCTTTCTTGCTTCTATCTCTGTATCTTTCTGTCTCACATTGCCTTTCACTGTCAATGTCACTTTCTCATGGTGACTTTTTTCTTCCTGTTGCAGTATTTGTTTCTCTTTTCAGTTTGAGTCAATTTTTATCCAGTCTATCCCTTTTCCAACATCTTTCCAAACTTTTATCTCATTTATTTTTTCTCTCCCCTCCTTTTTCCATCTCATTTTCTCATAATATAATATTGTCATAATAATTTATCTAGTTTTCTCTCCCCTTTCTCCCTTTCTTAAAAATGCATTTTCATGGAGATACCAATAGCTTTTGGTAGCTCTTTATTCTGTAGTTGCTGTCTGAACAAGCAAATGCACTACTTTTGCAGAAGAAGGGAGCCCTCACCAAGAAGGGAAAGAAGGTGGCAGCAAACCCACTGTCGACCAAGAAGGTTGAGGCCAAGAAGACTGTCAACCCCCTGTTTGAGAAGAGGCCGCGCAACTTCCGCATTGGTGGGTTTACAACTTTGTCATTGTTTGCAACCGTTTCTGACTAGCATGATGTCATGCATAGTTCACCTGACTGACCATGAACAGACATCATTCCGTTTACTGATATTCTCGCGGGCGCTCCGTCCGTGCCCTGTTTGTCTCCCCCTCTGACACCCCTCCCCCTTTCCCCGGCAGGTGGCGACATCCAGCCGCGCCGCGATCTGACGCACTTTGTGCGCTGGCCGCGCTACATTCGTCTGCAGCGCCAGAAGGCCGTGCTGCAGACCCGTCTGCGCATCCCGCCGCCCATCAATCAGTTCCGCCAGACCCTGGACAAGCAGACAGGTGTGCATTAGGCTCCCGACCGGCCGCGGCGCCGGCGGAGTGGCTATGATATGCACACGGGGTGTGAGGACGAGAGGTCGCCGCCGAGTCTGAAGGCCGGACCGCGACCCACCGCTCCCCCTATAAGGGGACGGATGAGGGCCCGTGCGGACTGTCGACTGACGTAATGGCGGCGGCTGATGACCGTCCGCTGGGTGGCGCCACGTGCGCGATCATCCGGTATAGGTGGCGCTAGCTGTCCCGCACGTGGGACGGCAATGATGCGCGGCACTAAGTCCCAATATGGGATGATGACGTGCCTTTTGCACTAGGTCCCGGTAAGGGATGATGACGTGCTTGTTTGGTGGTGCTGCGTCATCAGGTAAAGCCATGAGTGGAATGGTTGAATGTTGACCGTCCTGTCCTGGTGCTATATTTTATCTTGTTTTTATCACTCACTGATGATACTCTGTAAAAGCTCGAGGAGTCTAATGACTAAGCTGTTCCACAAGGATCTCTGACGGCGAACAGTTTCCCTTCACTGCCCTGCACCACGTGCGGTAGCTGTGACAGCATCCTCCGCCCCACAGCCACCCAGCTGTTCAAGCTTCTGGACAAGTACCGTCCCGAGTCGCGCCAGTCCAAGAAGGAGCGCCTGCGTGAGCGTGCCAAGGCTCGCGCTGACGGCAAGGAGGATGAGCCCACCAAGCGTCCGCCGACCGTGCGCCAGGGAGTCTGCACTGTCACCAACCTGGTGCGTGATTGGTTATAAAATGGTGTTCATATATCAATGTTTGACAATGATGGGATGAATTTCTTCACCCGACGAAACCGTGGGGAACAAAACAAACTAGCTTTTTAACACTGAGTAAACCGTCTTCATACTGACGTACCCCGGCTTGTTTCCCAACGCCCTTTACGCCTTCGTTTCTTCTCCCTCAGGTAGAGCAGAAGAAGGCTCAGCTGGTGGTGATCGCCCACGACGTGGACCCGCTGGAGATCGTGCTGTTCCTGCCGGCCCTCTGCCGCAAGATGGGCGTGCCCTACTGCATCGTCAAGAGCAAGGCTCGTCTGGGACAAGTGGTGCGTCGCAAGACCTGTGCCGCCCTCTGCGTCGCCCAGGTGAGCGTCCATAGAAACATACTCGGCGAGACGGGGATGGGTGTGTTTGAACATGATGGGATGAATTTCTTCACCCGACTAAGTCGTGGGGAACAAAACAAACGAGCTTTTTAACACTGATGGACTCGATACGTCTTGAAAATTGGTATCATTGTTGGTCAGAGTTCTAACCGATGTGTAATCTTACCTCCACAGGTGGACTCTTCTGACCGCAACGCGCTCAGTAAGCTGGTGGAGGCGGTCCGGACCAACTACAATGACCGCTTTGATGAGATCCGGCGCCACTGGGGCGGCGGATCCCTGGGCCCCAAGTCGCGCGCGCGCATCGCCAAGATCGAGAAAGCCAAGGCGGCCGAGCTGCAGACCAAGGTCTAAATGCAAACAATACATGTCATCGTTTGGAATTGTAATGTGTTTGGATGGATGGTCTCAAGGCCCTATAGACATGGTCTGTGTGAAAGGCAATGAAGGATGGAGGACAATGCGGATTGGGAACATCGTATGAAACTAGGAACTTAATGCTTATGTCCGAACGGTATGTTGGGGGGGGGGGCGTCAGAATTTAAACTGAAGCAAGGCAGGGTGGTGAATTGAGATGAGCGGCGACAAAGCCGTCGTTGCAGTGTGTGGGGACAGGCTTGTGAAAGGCACTGAAGGAGAATATCAATATGGCAGCGGTGTGTGATTAGTTGGATTTTGAGATGTCAAAACTAGTGAATCTGAAAATTGTTTTCCTCTTACGGCAGGCGCCGGACGCATAACCGGTCGCTGCGATTCCTGGCTACTCGTCCCAAGCATCCTTTCCGGCCAATCCATGAGGATTGGATTGGGGTCCTTGCAGAGGTAAGTGGGCGGAATCGAAGGGTTTTGAATTTCGTGTGCAATAAGCGTAAACGGTGTCCTGAGACGCCGGCGCAACAGATTTCGGTGACAGGTAGCAGATAGTGGCACAGGAGCTGGGTGGCATGGGGTCTGTTCCAGTCGCACTTCCTAACTCCTCCAAGAGCAAGATAGAGTAGGTTGGAGCAGGGCCCTCCTTGGCTTTGTAGGGGCTAGAGCTGCCACTGGAACAGGGAAGCAATCTTGAAGGTCTGAGGAGTTTAGAGGTGTTAGGAAGTGCGACTGAAACAGACCCATGGTTGCTGGTATTTGGTTCCATATTTCTAGCTTGATAGCTCTCAGAGAGAAGCTATCAAGCTAGGCCAGGCAGGCAGGGCCGCCAGGCAGATGCGCTGACGGTCGTTATGCCCAGTTGGGAGGCATTTGACGACTTACGGCGACATCTGCACTTGATATTAGTCATGTTCTTCAACAATAGATGTCGCGTCAGTCTCCATCCAATCTAGTATCCTCCTGCCATACCGGCCACCGTGTGCGGGTGGCGCTAGTGTCGCTCGTCGGCCGCCGCGCGGCGCGCCGGCTGGAGGTCGTCGGTCGCGATTCAGTCAGAATCGCCAGTGACTCCGTGTGGAGGGGTGTCGAGCGGGCGGTGTGCGTCGTCATGGAAACGTGCTGAGCCGCGAGCGTCGCACGCGCGTGCCGTGAATGATCGATTTGGACGCGTAGGTATCGGACGGAAAATCGCAGCAGGTGGGTTCGGGAGGGGAACTTTGGGTTCAATGCTGGATCTGATGGGTGTTAATTTTACGATAATTTGGATTTTTCATATATACGTTACCTTGGTTACTTGGTATGCAGCCATACGTTTCCCGGATGGAGTCTGCTTCGCCCGCGTTTTAGCCAAACTAATGTTCATGTTTGCTCCTTTGAGTCCGCTGGTAGTCCCCCGTCCCCCCCCCTTACATTATCTTTATCGAGCAGGTTTCCAGAGCAAAACGTGTGAGCTTACCATATATTCAGTATCTTGAGAGCCGACCGTTTCTCTGTTTATCGCATCATGATGTAGAACTTAGCTTTCGAGAGACGAAAACGCCGATTAAAACCCGCGTGATCCCCCACAGTGCCGTTTTATCTGGGGCCACCTGTCCAGTTCCCACCGTACATACATGCCGTCAGGTTTTGCAGCTACTCGACCCCCTGGCACGATGACAGTTCCGTAATGTGACGCTCACGACATGTCACCATCACTGCCACATGTATTTTTTTTTAGATCGTTCTCCATGTCGGGCAACGGTCATCGTGTTTCGTTTCATGTTTATCGTCGCGCCGACACGGGTCACAAACCCATATCACGGTAATAGTCCGTGTTAGTGTCACATGAATTTAACAGTCACCTGTGTGTTACTCGACCCTTTGTCGCTGTGACAGTCGCGCAAGGCAGACATTTGCCTTGCGCGACTCGACACTGAGTCATCAGTGTCATCGTTTCATGCGATCAGACGTGACTCTGTCTCTCGTCCACCCGTCTTGTTTCTCTATATTCGTCTCTAATGATCAGCACATGCTCCATGGGGACGTATTAGCACCGTCTTACGACTTATTAGCCCCACAAGGTACTGACGTAGGGCACGTCACGTGGGATGACCGTCATGTCAGCTCACGAGAATGATGTGTTCCGGTGGGATGATTACTTTGTCAGACTTCTCGCCTTATAAAGGCGCTTGTTTGTTCGCTTGTTTGATTTTATTCCGCGTCAATGGTGGTCGTTTGGTTTGTGCTTCGTTTTGATTAAATTGTGAAACCTTTCACTCACAAATGTGGCGAGTTTGATGCCTGTACACAATAAATGCGACGTGATTGCCGAGAAAACGGCGAATGATAATTAATTTGCATGCTGAGATGAGGAGCTGCGCTAGGTTTCCATTGGAGGCAGATTTTTTTTTCGCCGTTTATTATAGAGAAGCGGTTTATAGTAGGTACTTTTCGTAATAACTGCCCCAGTGCACATGTAACCACTATTCCCGTCTACTCACACAGTAGTCAGTACATAGATTTAGCATTTGATGTTTGATTGATTTGATTGAGATTTGCTTGAGTGAGTACCTATTGATAGCATATTTGATTTCAGTGATTTAGTCACGGGGCGCTCACAGATCACCGATCATCCAACTAACGGGATAGTCACATCCGTCACTGCATCGTACCGCCGGTGACATCAGCTGTGACCATGTGACGTCTAAATGTCACACCGTGACGCGTCACGGGGTGACATTTAGTGACGGTCGACGGACGATGTCACTGTATGTCTAAAGGCCCGGCTGAGGGGTCGATGGTCGTAATAGAGGGGTGGTAGGCCGCGATGTGCAACTCAGAGGGCCATGTTGACGATTTCAACAGGCGATTTTAAGAATGACTTCTTCTCATACTGGCAGTTCATTTCTTGCCGGCCCCTGCTAACAGGTGGCAGCCCCGATTTACCCGTAGCTATAACTGCACGATGGTTGCTCCCATCAGCTCTTTTCTGGCGTGGTAGTCCCTACCGTGGCGCTGTCCGCTGAGAATGACACCTCTGAAAACCGAAGGGTGGTTACTGGAGGGAACATATTCTGTCCTTCCATAACTGATGGCTTCTTTCGGCATGCCTACATGATCCCGCTATGTATCAGCTAAATGCTCATATCTGACGCTGGTCGAATGTGCTGTGCTGGGCTCGGTAAACCTTGGCTATAACACATCACAATGTGGTCCAACTGTTGGTCACGCCCCAAATACACAGAGCAGTGGGTAGCAAGGTCAAAACAGCTGATTGACAGATGGCTGGTTTCCACACCGTGGGCTGGATGAAGGCAATTCAATTGGCGGGATAATGAATAGAGCAACAACAGGGGCATGTCTCCACTTCAAATGGTATGGGCAGAAACACTCAGTCTCTCTTTCTCTCTTGCCTCCCTCCCTGTCTTCCGTCTTTCCTTTCTCTTGTGATCCTATGTACTTCGCTATACTTAGAAGTTTGATATTCTGCTTTTCCTCTTCCAGCTCCCTCCTTTTTCTCTCTCTCTCTCTCTCTCCATCACATCAGTGTCTCTCGCCAGCCCTTTTTCTCTCCTCCTCTCCCTCACCTCCCTCCTCCTCCCCTGTCCCCCCTCGGGCGTCGTGGCGTCACCGTTCGTGACGGTCTGTGACGACGCGTCACATGGCGTCACGGGTAGCCGCCGGCCGTGACGGGACACTCACGAAATCCCTGGCGCACGGGTGGTATAAGTGACGAGCATGCAGGTCCCAAGCTCCTGTTCTGTCCCATGATGGACTTTTATTCTCCCCAAGATTTTGAGAAAAATCCCAAGAGGACGTTTTTAAGAGCAAAGGTCGACAGATATGGACATTGGACTTCCTGAGGCAGAAAAAGGCGTTTCTCGAAAGAAAAAGACGATCTGTCTCGTCTCAGGGAAAGTGTGTCTCCCGATACTTGAAGGAACGCCCTTTGGACACTAAAGGACGTCCCGTGCCGAGCCGTTCCCCGGACGTGCCCTGCGGTTCGGCGAGTCTCGGCCGTGCCTCTGGTTACGTGGCACGGTGTGCAACGTTGCACGGCCGCAGCTGACGTACAAAGACTGCTCAAGCATGTCCCATGAGGCACGTTTACGTGGCGTAGCGAGTGTTGGGGAATCTATGGCAGGGTTCAGGCGTGATTCTGGCGTTCGAAGCATGGTGGTGGCGCAGGGGCGAGGGTTACACTTTGCTCGGGCTTGTGGTAGAGCTTGTGGAAGAGACGGGATCGTACTGTTTGCGATGTATACCTGGTAATTCAGACAATACTGCACCCAATACCTGCATTAATGCAGCGAGTGACATTTCCTGTGTGACTCACTACTCCGCTCTGCCCATTTATAGACCATATATGCTGCATGCGTCCTCTGAATCTGGTAAAGCCCTGCCCCCACTTCACATCCTACAGGCCGCCAACCATCACCCACGTCACTCCATACAGGGAGTGGCACTCCGGCAGTATGCACCTTTCACTGTTCTCTCTGTCCTCCGTTTGACGCCGACTGTGCGGTACCCGTTCAGTGAGAGACTGGCGGCGCTCGTCGGGGGATGTAGAGCGTAACGCCATTGCTGTGGTGGTGACGCCGTGAATGGAATGGAATGGAATGGCAACTATGTCTGACAGCGCTGGTCCGGTGGTGATTGATGCACCAATTTATCCACTACGTACTTCTGTTCTGTCATACGTATTTCACTCACGCATGATGTTTACACACATGATACAGTGATACACCCCTCGCCGCACGCAGGATACTTTGATCACCCTTGCCATACACCATCTGGTCTGATAGGCCGCTGTGCGTTCCAATAGATGAGATAGGTTGCGTGATATTCGGATGCCACGCTATTCGGCCGTTGATTATGCCGAGTATTGTTCAGAAAACACGCAATCTTACCTACACTGGGCCTGGGGATAAAGCCGATCACTTCCGTTATAACCAGCCACATTAAGTTAAGCGATCTCAGGGCGCCTTCGAACGCTCATACTGTATGACAACTAATGAGGCGTGACCAACACCGGGCGTTGGCCCGAGCACGGAGCAAGTCTGCTCGTCAGGGACAGCATCAGTAGATAACGGTATAATCACAGATCAGGCACTGCATAGACGTGTCGTGTAGGTGTAAGCCAGTGTCGGAGGTCGCATTGGCATTTGCCATTAGAGGACCCCCACCCTGCCCTGATTGGTAAGATTGGACCATGGAGTGGCCAATGGTCATGCCTCTATTCTTATCCCCTTGGTGTGTCCATCCTGCAGCACAACGCTCTGTGACGTTTATTTTGAATGCATACCTCGTTATCAGCTAATCGGCGTCATGACAACCCAGCCCCGATTAACGCTCGCGAGCCGTGAGCCGGCTGTGATCAGTTTGATCTTTATCCGCGCACATTCCTGCCATTTCACCATCTGATTTACCCGTTCTGAGAATGGAATGTGTCGCTGTTGAAACGGACTGTGTTGCTGCCATTCGGCGCTGTTCAGAACGGAATGCGTTCCTTTCGCTTCGGCCAGGCTTGGCCAGGAATACCGTTTCATGAACGTGCCTCAGTGTAGCATTTTTACATGGCAACTCGTGCCTTGCACTGGCCAAAAACTTCCTCATGGGCGTTCCTGTTGTCCAGAAAACTGCAATCACGCACGTTTCCATGTCACGTGACTGAAACATGGGGCTCTGTCGGTTTGGGCCGCTCCTGTCGAGCTTTGAACTTTGGTACGTTAGTCTCAGGTTAGGCTGGAGGTTTATTATGTCAAATTGGCTGCGAGAGGTTTGGTCTGTTCTGCCCGGCCCTGGTTTGGTATGTCGCACTGGCTGCCTTCGACCGCGGCCCGGGGGCGTGACGTTATATCGGGCGTGTTGTGGTTAGTGTTTGGTTCACGGAGTGTGGGTTTATTGACTCGGCAGGCATGGCGGTGTGTGACGGGGTCGGTGACAGGGCTGGCATTTCTATCAGTCTAGCTGGCTGGCTGATTGGCTGGTTGGCTGTCTGTCTGTCTGTCGGTCTGTTTCCCGCCTACCCATGTTTGCTTATATAGGTACTGTGCATTATACACTCTGATGTGTGTCTAACTTTTCGGGGCATTTCCTCCGATTTCTGTGTGTATGCCTCCCTTTCGGCCTGCCTGTGTCTCTGTTCCTTCTTTTCCCCTCTGTTCCTGTTCTATCCTCTGTTCCTGACGTCTTCGCGACATGACCGCTGACCCTTG